ATAATGTGGGGACCAGAACTGCACACAATATTCTAGGTGTGGTCTAACCAAGGTTCTAAAGAAGTTTAGCATAGCTTCCCTGCTTTTCATTTGTATCCCTCTAAAAATAAACCCCAATACCTGGTTTGCCTTTTTTTCTGGCCTTATTAACCTGCGTTGTTACTTTTACTGAATTGTTTATGGGTACCCCAAGATCCCTTTGCTCCTCTAACCCACTTAGGATTTTACTTTCCAGGATGTGTGTGTTGCATGTATTACATTTGATATTGAGTTTTTCATGTTGGGAGGATGTCTCAAATCACTTCAAAGCATATACTGTAAAGCAGAGTGTCTGTGTATTTTGTAGACGAATGAGACAGCCAATTTGGGCACAGCAATGTCCCACAAACGACCATGAAGTGAATAAACATTTTATTTGGACAATAGTTGTCCAGGGGAGAAACCGGGAGAAAGTCTCTTCTCTGTTCATAGTCATCTTGTAGCAATGACCTTGCATTGTAGCAATGAAATCTTTATTGTGTTCCTTACAGGTAAATGGGACCTTGGTTAAATTTCTCGTCCGAAGGATAACACCTCTGTCAATGCAGCACACCATCAGCACTTCACTAGAGTATCAACTCGACTAAATAGGTTCCAAATCCCAATGCGAGAGTTGAACCCACAACCTTCTAACTCAAAAGTGAGAATGCTACCAATTGAGCCTAATTCTGTGTACAATAACATGCAGTTGAGTTTGCACATGTTAAGTCACCTATTGTTATAATCCGCATAATGTTCTACTGGCAGCCAGCCCGGCTGTGCGTGAGATGTTTTGTGCACAGTTGAGTTTGCATACTTTTATAGACATATAATGTTATGATTCGTCTAATATTATACAAATTTGCGGTACCGATAACAAGATATCAAATCATGTTCGACCCAGGGGTGTAGTGTAGCCAGAGTAGTCTCAACCGCATAATCAAATAATTTGTTTCAAGCTACAGTGTAACTCAGCACAAAGCGTGAATATTGTATAAATATTGATAGTTCGCTGTATTTTCTGACTGAATATTTAAGATCAAAAAATAAAAAGTACTGCAGAATTAAGTTTGGAATAAATTATGGTATTTAATAGTAACGGTATTTAATAGTAGTGGGTGCATTATCTTTTGTTGTAATTCATAAACTACACTGCAGAACATAAGTTGGTTTACTTTTGATGTAAAGACAATGGGTTGCAGTTAGCCAAGAACACAATTAAGCAGCAAATTTCAGATGTCTGCACGTGAGTCAGAAACAGACCCTGCGGAGTGGCCCTTGGCCAGACTGGTTTAACCCACAGAGGTGAACCAGTGTGAGCCAAAGATCTTGAATCATAAATGCGATTGAATGTGACTCGCATTACGAGACATAAAGAGGACCTTATTTTCAGAACATGCCAATGCGAAAATTACCTTTGCGTTTTATGTCTTATTCCAAAACTTTTTTTAAACAATGTTGAACACGTCCATAATTTGACTGTTTATGTAACATATTAAAGACTAAATACCTCCCAAGGCTTATACAAATTGAAGTTAAATGAATCTTCCTGACAAAGTACCTTCAATTCAGTCAACACATGGAATTCATTTAAGTCATAACTAAAAAAAAGCGTATGGAAGTAGAGAAAATAAGGGATATTTGCCTTTTATAATCAACAGTCACAATTTTAAAATAGTACATTTATTGGTTACGTCCACTTTATTCCCCTATCTATCCTTACAGCAAAATAATTGACTATATTGTTTTCCCATAATGAGTCTCATTTGAGAAAATAACTCAAGATCCTGCCATGGTCTCTTCCCCACGATACGTCTGCAGCCACCGCACTGTTGCCTTCACTCAGGGAATACTGGTCTGCTTCATGACCCCCTGCCCTATCTGCCCACCATCGGTGAGCAGGTTTTCAGCCATTCTGCCCCCTGCTCTCTGGACCTCTATCCTGGCATCCCTCAGATTAACTCGCTTCCTGCCTCCTGCCCCTCTTTCAAAACCCATATGAAAACGTATCTCTTTGACTCTATGTTTTTGGTCATCTTTCCCTTCTCCACCTATTTTGGCTCCCGCTCCCAGTTCAGGTGCCCATCCAGCACTGTGGAGCACTTTGAGACATTGTGGCGATGTGAAAGGGACTATATCAATGTAAGATTGTATATTACAATTATATATTGTATTTGAGCTTGGGCCTTTGCTGACATCAGTTACTAATACAGGCATTTCTGGAATATGTATAGCTTGGCATTTCTAAACTTAAGTGTAGCCAGGCATATCTTTCCTACAACTCTTTTTTATAAAATTGCCTTCATGATCAGCATTAAGAGCAGCTGCAAGGCTAGCCTCTCTGCACTCATTAATCAACCACTGTTTTCCTGTAGTACTCTGACTCTCAACAAACTCTCTTTGTACGCCCAAACCCATATATTTTGTTCCCATGTATCTCGCTTGAGATTTTTGCTGTTTTACATTAAACCATTTAGAAATT